ACAGGGCTCTTTACAAGACCCTGCTTTAGAATTTAGATCCCTGGGAACTTGGAAGGCAGCAGTGAAACAAAACCCTCCCCAGGAACAATAAAGAGAGATCGGCAGGGCAGGCGTGGGCAGCGCCGCGAGATTCCAGGGCTCCGGCACCGCCGGGCTGCTGGGGTTTGCAGAGGGTCTGCAGCGTTCCCAGGGCCACATCCTGGCCGGGGAAGGCAGAACTCGTGTTGGGATTGCTGCTCTTCCATGCACGCAACAGGGATTGGTGCAGAACGTCCAGGCTGGGGAAGCGCTCGCCTCCGCCTCCCTGCGCCCACCGCAGGTGGACGTGGATGGAGATCATTGCTCTCCTCCCTGGCTGCTGCTCTCCAAGCCTGGAAGAGCCTCTGAGGACAAACATCTCCAGATGGGCTGGTGGGACGGGCCCCAGGGAAGGTCCCAGGGACAAGGCCCTGCTGCTCTGCAGGCTTTGGCTGCAGCTTCTGCCTCTAATCTGCAGCTTTGCCCCGTGAACTCGGCTGACACCAGGCCCAGGGGCCACTGGAGCCCTCTGCAGCTGATGGGCTGAGGGTACAGCAGAAACCAGCATGAAGCCACCTCCAGCTCCTTTTTAATCCCCCCCTCATGTTTGATAGCACCCATCTCCTGCCTGTGGGAGCCAAGCTCTGGAGCTCTGCAGGGAGGGAGCAGCCAGTGGGATGCTCTGCAAGGACATGGGGGTATGGTGGTCCTGGTGAAGGGTCCAGCTCCTACAGTGCCTTGGGAAGAGCTGAGTGATGCCCACTGGTAAGTTGGGCTTTGAGAGCAGAGCTGAGCATCTCACCAGCTGTACCGGCCCCTACACTCAACCCAACCCTGGAGGGATGTTTCCCTGGTGTGCTCCCATCTCTCTGTCCATCCACATCCATCCATCCATCCATCCATCCATCCATCCATCCATCCATCCACCCATCCATCCCTCCATCCATCCATCTGCATCCATCCATCCATCCACATCCATCCATCCACATCCATCCACCTATCCACCCACCCACCCATCCACCCATCCATCCATCCATCCTTTCTTCCTTCCTTCCATCCATCCATCCACCCACCCACCCACCCACCCATCTACCCATCCTTCCTTCCTTCCTTCCATTCATCCATCCATCCATCCATCCATCCATCCATCCATCCATCCATCCATCCATCCATCTATCCATCCATCCATCCACATCCATCCACCCATCCATCCATCCATCCATCCATCCATCTATCCATCCATCCACCCATCCATCCATCCATCCATCCATCCATCCATCCATCCATCCATCCACATCCATCCATCCATCCATCCATCCATCCATCCATCCATCCACATCCATCCACCCATCCATCCATCCATCCATCCATCCATCCATCCATCCATCCATCTATCCATCCATCCACCCATCCATCCATCCATCCATCCATCCATCCATCCATCTATCCATCCATCCATCCATCCATCCACATCCATCCATCCATCCATCCGAGCCCTGCTCAGCCAGGTTGGATCTCACTGTTTTGCAGTTCAGAGCCAATGCACGGGGTCACGCAGCCAGAGCATCCCTGGGGCAGAGGCCAGGCGGGCAGGGAAGTGACTCGGGAATGGCTCCAGCAACAAGGGGAAAAGGAAAAGTTTATTGTCTGTGCCGGCGCCCAAGTCAGCAAACAGGGAAAGCTGAGCCCTGACTGGGACGGGAGAGCATGCGGCATCACCCCTGCTCCCATGGGATGGCTGCGGGACACAGCCGGGTTTCCAGCAGCACCCAGCCCCACTTCCCAAAGAATCCAGCATAGGGAACCCCGGAGTGGGAAGAATGGAATGGGCCTGAGTCAATGCCCCTCTCCACTTTGGTTAAGGCAACTAATCAGTCTCTGTAATTAGCTGATGGCTGAGTGCATGGGGGAATGGGGAGGCTTGGAGGCCAGCACCAACAGAGCCAACAGCCTGCACCCCTTATCACAGGCTTGGAGGGAGAAACAGGGGGAAGTCAAATGCAATTTCATGTCCTTTCCTCCTTCCCCCTCCTGAACTATTTGCTTTTATTGTCACGTTTTCTTTCGCACAAGGGAATGGAAACCCTGCTCCTTCCCAGGCTGCAGACAAACAAACAGGAGGGAATGACAGAGAGGGTACGCGAGGATGGGAAGGGATCGGCCCCGCACACCCTCTCCACTGGGGTTAACGCCTTTTGCAGGTGCCGTTGCCCAAGCCCCCTTGATCCAACGCGTCTGCGGCTCACGAGGAGCGCGGCTGCTGCACGGGCGCGGGGCCTGGGGCCCGCCGAGGCGGTTTTGTCCCTCACATCCCAGATCCCAAGAGCAGACGGAACATTAAAACCAGGCGCTTCAACTCGACCCTCACAGGAAAGGCTGCGGCGCGCGCCAGCCGCCGAGCGCGCGGATGCACCACGCAGCGCCCGTGTCCCGTGATGGATCAGCTCTGAAAACAACACCCTGCTAATCTTGCTCCAGAGCAGCCATAAAACTGTCCTCCCGGTTCCTTCGGAGAGGATTTACAGCAGCTCACAGCATCCTGGAGTGGTTGGTGGAGGCAAGACCCCACCATGGGTGCTGGCCCTGGACCTGGGGTGCATCCCGGCAATGGGGCGATGTGCCAGGACCCCTCACCCCAAAGACTTGATTTCCACCAAGCCAACGCTCCCCAGGGGGACTTGGACATCCCCCAAGAACAGGTCAGCCCCTCCAAAGCTGTGCCTGACCCCGGTAGCCTTTTGCAGAGGTCCCATCCCGGCTGCCCCGGGGAAGATCCCTCCAAAATCCCAGGAGGAGAAGGGGTTTCTTGGCACTGAAATGAGCACAACCCCAGCAGAGGAGCCACTGGAGGGGCACCCGCTTCTGCCGGGAATGTGAACTCTTCCTGCAGCCCCTGCAGCTTGTCCTTTGGCTGACTCTAACGGGGGGCAGACAGCGCTGGGCTCTGCTGTGGCTTTGGTCACAGCCACGGTGACCACCCCATGAGCGGTGGAACACCATCAAACCCAGGCACAGGCTCGTTGGGACATGGCTGCTTTCCAGCCCTGGGAGCCCCACGCAGAGCCCATGCCAGGGCCCTGCCAGGGGCTCAGAAAGCACCAAGGAGCACAGCACCGGGCAGTGGGAGCCAGAGGGCTGCCCCCCACGCTCCCCCCGGCCGTATCCAAGTGGGAAACTGAAAACCCGAGGCAAGGCGAACTGTGCTGAGCCCCTGCCAAGAGCCACGGACAGAAATATCCTTGATTTCAGCAAGGTGTGAATAACTTCTGACACTTCGAGGGCTTATTGCCTCAACAAAAAATCCCCCAGCAGTCGCCATTCACACTCTGCGGGGCTGTGTTTCATATGAATGGAATATATGAATCACTGTAAAGAATTTAAATGCTTCCCTCTACAAAGAAAAGCTCCCTCCCCGCCTCTGCTATTGCGGATGGGCTCCACGCAGCCTAAAACAAAGGCATGGCAGGAGATGGGGACAAATCCTGATCACCAAACTGCTGCTTCCACAGGGCAGCTCGGTGGCTGAGGGCAGACCAGCGCAGCGAGGGCAGAGCTGGGCACCTTCCACCACCCACTTCAACCCATAACCAGCGAACCCATTCACAGCCTCGTGTTTCCCGAAATCCCAACGAGCTCCTGACGCCTCCCGGGGTCACATCTCCCTGTGCCTTTCACTTTTTGGCTCCGCTCCCAGCCCTAAACCCCAGTTTTGGGCTTGGAACAAGCAAATGGAGAAAATGGCTTTATTTCCAGTCCTCTGCCCAAGCACGCCGGGGCAATCCGCTGCCCCGCTGCCGGCGGGATGGGGTCAGCCCTCCTGATGGAAACCAGGCGATGCCGACTGCAAGAATCTCTCCCTGGGTTTTAGCAGTTTGGGGTTTTTTTTTCTGCTTCTTTTCCCCTTGGGCAATAGGGCGAGGAGGAAAAATGTAATTGAAGCCTGGCGCAGCCTCGCTGGGTTTCCAGCTGGGATGTTTCCCCTGGCATCAATGCCTCGGCTCTGCGCACGCGGTTGCACCCGCATCCCGGCGGCAAGAGGGGAGCCAAGATGGGGCTCCCGACGCCCAGACTGTGCTCAGCCCCTCAAAGAGCAGAGGCAGAAAAGCCAAGCGGGGCAGGGGATGGCCCCATTGCCCACCACGGCACTGCTAATGGCCGGGGGGCTCGCAGGCACCAGCCCCGCCACCAGCTCCATGTCCTAACCTCATAGGATCCAGCTCTGAAAGGAGCCGCTTTGTTTCCGTGTCCCTCGCAGACGGATCAAAACTGCATTTTTACAGAAGCAATAAAAATCCCAGGAATTCACCGGCCTTATGATTTATTAAACATGTTCCTTATAGCAAAGCTGCCCATAGATGAGGGAGTATCTCCGGTGGGTTATTGCCTCGCCTGGGGCTACCGTACAGGGGGGATCTCTCCTGGCTTATTGGGAACAGTCAAAGCTGGGGAACTGGGTAGATCAGAAGCCAATTAACAGCAGCGCTCTTAAAAGACCCCAAATAAAATAAGCACCTTGTATTTCCCAAGGTGTTCCTGAGGAAGGGGCTGCAGCGACCTGCCCTGATCCTGCCGGGAGCCCTTGGGTGCAGATGTTTGCAGCTATGGGATGGGATAACATCCCGGCTGGCTGAGGGCGATGTGCCAGCAGCGGCCATCCCAAAGGTCACAGCACTTGCCCTAAACCACTTTTGTTCTCACAAACACCATTCCAACCGCAGAAGGAAAGGGCTGGACGCTGGGACAGGGCTCGGGCTGTCCGGTTGCTGAACAGAGCAGAGCCTCTGGGTGCGATTCACGGGAAAAGGTTCAAGGAGGGGGGAAAAGGGGATGAGAAAAGGGATGAAGGAATGGAGACGGGCGTGCGGGGCGGGGAGCGGCGCCTGCAGGCGTCCCGGCAGCGCTCCGCTCCGCACGGGGAGAAGCCACCGGAGCCGGGGGGACCCGAGACCGAGCCGCGGAGCGGGGCGCGGCGGAGCCCTTACCTCTGCGGAGCGGAGCGCGGTGCGGAGCGGTGCGGGCAGCGGGCGAGACGGGACGGGCCGGGCCGGGCACCCCTCCGCGGGCCGGGGCGGAGCCGGGGAGGGACGAGCAGGGAGGTGCGGGGAGGTGCGGGGAGGTGCGGAGCGGGCAGCGCTGCCAGCGGGCGCGGGCGGGCTGGGCTGAGCTGCGCTGGGCTGGGCTGAGCTGGGCTGGGTTGAGTTGGGTTGGGATGGGATGGGATGGGATGGGATGGGATGGGATGGGATGGGATGGGATGGGATGGGATGGGTTGGGCTGGCGGCTGCTGAGATTTCTTCCTTTTCCCTCTATTTTCCCGTTTCTTCCCCCGCCCCAGCCCCGGAGGTCCCAGCCCCGCAGCGCTTCCCTGTTCCTCCGTCGCAGCAGGGAGGCGGCGCGCAAAATAAAGCCATAAAAGTGCAACTTCCCCCCCACCCTGGCCCCTTCCTCACCACCCCACAGGGTCCCACGCACCCCTGGACCCACTTGCCCATCATCCTGCAGTGATGCGCAGCGCACGTGGGGATGCTGATGGCAGGAATGCCAAACACAGTGGTAGGGAAAGAGCCCCCTTCACCTGCAAAGCACTCAGAGCGGGATGCTGCCGGCCTCCAGCACTGCCCTGGGACAGGGCAGGTTGGGGTTCAGACCTCTTCGTGGCCCATCTGGCAGCCGAGGGCTGGAGCAGCTTGCTCCTGTGCACCCCCAAACCCCACCACCCTTTCCCTTTACAGGCACAGTGTCAATCTGAGCAGGAGGTGCTCCCCTTTTGCTACGGTGGGGGGGACTTCACCACCCCAAAAGTTCTGCTTCCCTGGGCAGAAAAGTAGGGAAATGTGGTTCCCATGCAGCCAGGTCCTGCTGCTGCTTGGTTCAGCTTGGTTCCAAATCAGAGGCGCCCTAATCCCAAGGGAGAAGGGTGCCCACAGCCGTTCCTCCAGCCTCCGAATGCTGCCTGTTCCCAAGCTGGAACACAGGAGTCATGGCATCCCGCTGGCAGCCGCGTGCCAGGCACAACCGGGACACCACTGGCACTGCTGGGGTGCACGGGCCCGGGGGGTGCAGGGCCCCCGGTGCGCCCCGGGAGGCAGATTAGGGTTGCTCAGGCAACGGGCACAGAGAAAGCCCGTCTGGATGGAGGCCTCTGGGGCGCACAAGGGTGTTTGTTTTCTGTATTAAGAGCCTGAGCAAAGGGGGGGTGTCAGACAGCTAATCCCCCCTCAATGCCTTCCCTCGGCGAGCAGCCGGGGCAGGGCCGGACCCTGCTCCCAGGAATGCTGATGTGCTCAGCCCCATGCGGGCGATGGGGCTGGGGATGGGTGGGGATCCTCTCCGTGTCCTGAGCAGGCAGGGCTGGGGGTCCTTATCCATGGTGAGCAGCTCAGGGCAGCTCCAGGGCTGAACCATGGCACATCATCACCTGCTGCTCAGGCACCATGGCTACACTGGGATGGCAGAAACTGCTCTGAACCTTCTCATCCATCCCTGGCAGTGCCAGCTCCCCTGCCCGTATCCATCCTGCAGCCCCCAGCGCTGGGGTGCAAGGCAGAGCATTGAGGGGCCTCCACCAGCAGAAACGGACCAGCCTCGTTTAAGCGGAGCTCTCACTGGCAAAGCATTTCCTCTGCACGCAGACTCATTAGCCAGCACAGACATTCCTCTGTCCCACAGAGCGAACCATGGGCTGCAGCCTCGCTCCCTGCCGGCTTCTCCTGCCTGTCATCAGCCCTGCACCACGCACTCCTTCAAAGCCCCTGTGCCTGCCCCTTCAGCAGGATGGAGCCTGGGCTGCAGCCGTGCCGCCCTGGATGACCCCACCACCATGCACCGTCGCCTTCCCTCTGCCCAGGGACACTCGCTTCGTGCTTAGCGGTGTCCCCGTGGTGCCATCCTGAACGGTGCGCACAGAGCACCAGGGATGAGCGTGCCTGAGAGGCTGTGGCTGCTGGTGGCCCTGCTGCGCTGGCTCATCCCCAGACACAGCTCGTCCTGGGCTCAGCATGGGTACAGCAGCGGGATTTAACGCAGCTTCCAGTGGGAGAGGGAAGCCCGGCTTAGCGTGGGCTTTAGCGGCTCTGCTGCCTCCAGCCTCTGGCAGCTCTGTTCCTGGTGGCTGTGCCAGAGCTGCACGGTGGCCCTGGCCTCCCAGGGCAGCAGGAGATGATGCCTTGGAGACCTGGATGGAGCTCACCCTGCCAGGGGCTGTGAGCGAGCCGGGGGCAGCCTCAGCAGCACCAAAGCAGGGGTCCCAGGTTCTCTGCCCCCCAAACCCCCACCTCAGCCATCCTGCTGCTCCACATGGGAGGAGCAAAGAGAGGAAGGAGAAATAACTCAGTCTATGGCTGAGAAATGCCTTAATTTCAGTGGGTCACGGACGTAATCGAATCAGTGCCGTGCGTTGGAATATCGGTTCCACGTTTCCACAAGGCAGATAATTGTGCTCCGAAAACCAGCCCTTGGTGCTCAGCAGGCAAAGCTGCCATGGGGGTGGGAAGGGGACAGGGGCTGCGGTGCTGGTGCTGGCGGCATCGCGGCATTGCCATGGCCATGGCCGAACCCGCCGGGATGCGCCGCGGTGCTCGCTCCGCTCGCTGTGCCGAGGGCAGCCCCGGGGAGCATCGCCCTGGCTTTGCATCGTGCCAAGCAGGTGAGAGGCAGGAGGCCGCCAGGCAGCGAGCGGCGGGGCCGGGCCAGCGCGGGGTGAGCTCCGTGTGGAGCGCGGTGCCAGATCCCAGCCTTCGGGAACATTCAGTGATGGATTAAATGCAATCTGACTACCACTGTGGGAGGTTGGAGAGAATTACTTCATACAAATGCACTTCGGAAAGTATTTAGTCTCAAATTTTCAAAAGCCCCTGAACGATTTAAGAGCCAAAATCCCGTTTTCCAAAGTCAAATGAGCAAGGAAAGATCAGTAAAGAAAACAGGCTGGACAGCAGGGCCCAGGGCAGCGGCTGCCGTGGCACATCCCGAGCTCCTCCTGCTGCAGCCTTCGTGCTGGCAGGCACGGGGATGCATTGGCCTCCAGAGGTATCCCTGGGAATTCAGCCCGGGTTGGGGATGGGTCCCAGAGGGTCGGCTTGCAGGGAATGGTCCCACTGGGCTCTGGGACAGCATCCGCAGCTGCCATGGGCACACCAAATCCCAGCACAGATCCTCGGGGACAGGAGGGTCCCCTCTGTAATGGGAGAAGGCAGGGCCGCAGATGGGAACCTCATGGCCCCTTCCCCTACCCCACAACCGCTGCAGCCTCCTAAAAGCATCTCTAGTTCCCTGCTCAGCATCCTAATGAACCGCAAGGGCAGCTGGGACCCTCTGAGGCAGCAACCATGGAGACTCAACCCCCCCAAAGAGTAAATCCCAAAGCAATTAGCTTTGCGAGGCTCGGCCGGGCTGGTGGAGGCTCCACATTCCTTGGTGGCTATAAAGCTCTTTACTGGGATTGTTTTCCAGCGCAAGCCCTGCCCGGGGTCCACATGGCCATGGCTCTGGCTCCCAGCACCTTTGGTGCATGTCATTAAAAACCACTCTGAGCACGCTGACTTTGCTGGAGCTGGAAAGAAGCGGGTTTATACACTTCCCTTGGTAGAAAGCACGAAGGATCTGAGACAGAATTCTTGCTCCAGGATCCTTTACAATTCCTGGAGGACATTTTTGGGAAGGGAAGGGTTGTGTTTACCTTGGCAGCTGACTCTGCTCCTATATACATACACATGGAAAAACTGCACTCACCTAACGTTTCCATGGCTCCCTTTTCCACACAGAGCCAGCCCAGGTGGGACCTTGGTTGGAAATGGCACCTTGATGTGAAAGCTGAATGAAGGCTGAGCCTCTCCCCACGGCAGCCCTGGAGCAGAGGGGGAAATGCTGATGGAGGAGGAGGAGGAGGAAGGCTGCTGGGCAGTGTTGGTTAGCAGGAACAAGTGATGTCTCTGGTGCCACGCTGCTGTGGGGGTTGCAGGGAGAGGAGGGACGTGGCCCCAGGGCTCAGCCGTGCCCTGACCCACACGGGCAGCTCCACGCTTGCCGAGGCGCTGGGATGGGAGCAGCTTGGTGGGAGCACTGGTGGGGATGCGGCAGCCGTGGCTCAAGGCGATGGGGCCGGTTCAACCGCAGCCAGGCACCACCCCGGTGATGCCCCATGTGCCCCGTGTGCCCCCCGTCACCTCCTCCCCAGGCACCGCTCCTGCCCCGCGCCTCCCGCCTTTCCTGCTGGGATTGATTCACCGGCAGCGGGGAGGGAATAAATCCACTTGTTGGCACGTTGTAAATTCACCACGTGCTGGGGACGCGCATTCCAGGCCACCATAAACACCCCCGGCTACGAGCTTGTAAATCTGCCCTCGGAGCCAGCAGGTGAACCGGGTCCCTGCATCCCAGGGGCTGCTCCATGGTGACCCCACGGCACCCTGCATCCCTGCAAGGGGGTTGCTCAGGAGAGGAGCATCGGGACCAGACTCGCCTGGTCACCGCCACCCTCCCGGTTTGCATCTTCTCCCTGTGCCATTCCTGCAACAGGGACCGAGGCGGGGGGTGCTGCCACCTGCACGCTGCTCCCATGGGTGCTGAGGACCCACTGGGATGAAGGCAGCGACCTGCAGCCCATCCAGGAGCTGTGCCAGGGCTCTGGTGACCTGCCTGGAGCAGGCTGCAGCACGAGAGGCTCTTTGCTGCTCCCGGTGCTCCGCTGTGCTGCTGAAACGTTTATGCAGTGAACTAGTTGTAAAAGAGGGGGGAAATCCGTGTTTTATTATCCACCAAGCGGCTGCTGCTTCGGTTTATGGGGGTCATTCTCCAAGGAGGTCCGGCTGAGGAGCAGAGGCACAAAGCCCAGGTCCTGGTGGGCTCCAGGCTCCTGGTACCCCGCGGCTCAGCATCCCCTGGCCCCATAGCACCAGGCTGGGCACGGGGGGGCCGGGCAGCGGCAGCAGGGCATGGCTGGGGCAGTGCACTCGTTGCTCGGTGATGTTTATCAGGCTCCACCGTTGCTGGCGCTGTCAGCGGCTCGCTCCGGGGGTGCTGGCGTGGAGCTGGGTCCTGCTGCACCCCGAGAGCCGGCTGCGAGGCCAGGCAGTGCGTGAGCAGCGCCGGAGGGCAGGGCAGGGAGCGGGGACCCGGGCTGGTTCCCATCGCATTCCCTGGGAGAGGAAGCCGGGGCAAGCAGAGCCTCCCTTTCCCAGAGGAAGCTGAGTGCTCGGGACG